CTTGGATTGGAAATCAGCCCTTGGCCATGGTGGCTGGGGCTGATGGGAGTTGTAGTCCAATTGAGATAACGTCAGGATGGGAAGGCTAGTCTGAAGTGCCTGCCACACGCCTGCCAGGGTGTTGTTCAGAATGCGCCACGGTCCTGGAACTCCAATGCCAACGGAGGAAGGTTAATGCGGGGTGTTTGTGCTCCTCATTAATTATAATGATATAATAAGAATAATATTTATTTATATTGCGCTCTCTACCGGAGCGCATTCCAACAGTCAGAAACAGTTAAAATGCAACCCTAACATAATTACAATGCTGAAACACACTGTGAGCGATCGCAAGGGCCGAGAGGAGCGATTAGGATTCCGGGCGAGCGCCTCTCCTTCCCGCCCGCCCGCCCGTGCTGCAGAGCTCCCTCCAAATGGGCCCCGGCAACTTTGGAGGGAGTTTGAAGATATCAAACACCACTGAACGCTGGTCCCCAACGTGAGCCCCGGCAGCTTTGCTTCCGCACATCAAATGCGAGCCGGCTGCGCACAAGCTGGCTCGGTTCCCCTGCCAGCCCTGCTGGGTTTTTTTTTTCTTCCAAAGCCGCAGTTGCCTTCAGCCAGCCTCTGATCCTCCGAGCCAGGATCGTCCTGGCCAATGCTTTCTCCAGGGCGTGGGAAAAGTCCCTTTTCTAACGTGCTGCTCACTTTGGCACACCCTCGTCCCTGACACTGCAACACAGCAGATGGCCTGCTATGGGGCAGGGTTGTCCCCTGACTCGAGGAGGAGGAGGAGGAGGAGGACGAGGGCCCCGCTGGCCACAGGGCCGCGGGGAGAGGGATTTCACATGGAATGGGCCGGGTGAGACCAGCTGGTACCTCCTCGGTGTCTTTGAAGAAGCAGCCCTTAGAAACCTAATATTGGGGATCTGGCTCCCGGCATCTCCCAGCCAGGATGGGCCATGAGGGATCAGGGGTTTGAAGGGAGGAGGCCAAGCACTCCGGTCCTTGGAGTGCCCTTGCCACGAGAGTCCTGTAGCCAGGGCTGTGTCCGGAGGGAGACCCCCCTGGGCCCACTCTGGCTCCCTCACCCGTCTTCCTCTAGGTCTTCCAAGGCATGCTGCGAGCCCACAGGGACTTCCACGACACCAAAGCCAGCTTGACGCGCCTGTGGATCCACGAGTGCTTCAGGTAGAGCCGACTGTCCTACTAGCTTTCTTTCTGCCCGTCCCATTCTGTGGCTCTCGGAGGGCTTCCACTCCCTCCACCCCTGGTTGTCTCCCCAAAGAGGCTACCTTTTGGCTCTCCCATTGGACTGTTCCCTGTGAGGTGGCCCGATAGGCATCATCCTTCCCAGCCAGCACCCTGTTTCCTCAGGAGACTTCCAGAACTTGGGGACAGCTGCCTTGTGGGAGGTGGGCTGGGTGGGTCATGATCCCTGAAATTCCAGGATGGCAGCGGGTGGGAGGGTCTGGAAGCGGTGGGCCCAGAGATGTCCACCTGCCAAGCTCCAAGAACACTCTGAACGAGCAGCCCAGAAGCTGCAGAAATGGGTTTCCAGAAGCTGCTGTGGGGAACAGCCAGACGGAGCCCCACGGCTGTTCTGGGTCAAGAGGAGACGGCGAGAGGGAAGGCGAACCTCTAGCGGGTGGCGATGTAGACACAGATCCTGCTTCTTCCAACCCCCGTCTCCGGGTTTCTGGGCAGTTGGTTTGCCCCTCTCAAGACTGGGCCACACGGAGACCCCAGGTGAGAGGGGCCTCTTTCTCTTCTCCTCTTCTTCTCCTCCTTGTGCTGCTGCTTCAGGGTCTTCTCCGACCGCCTGGTGGACTCGGCAGACATGGAGACCTTTGTGGTCCTCTTGAGCGAGAAGCTGGGCACCTTCTTTGACCTGACCTTACACAACCTCTGCCCCAACAAGCGTTCCCCCGTCTTTGGTAAGAAGTCCTTTCCCCAGGCCCACCGCCGGAGAGGAGGGAGGGCCAGAAGGCCAGTGGGACGGCCGGGAAAAGCGGAGAACCCACTGCCTTCGTCGGTTTGCCTTGGTGCCATTAAAACAGCTACCCTGTTAAAAGAATGAGTTTGGGTTGATGGGTCGGTTAAGTTTCAAGAGATCAGACTCGGAAAAAGAACACAGTAAGAACCAAGTATCCATGGAGAATGGGTTCCAAGCCTCCTGCGGATACTGAAAAAGGTGGATTATAGTGAACTCTGTTTGAACAACCAACCCTATCCAATAGTGATTATAGTGAACTCTGTTTGAACAACCAACACTATCCCATAGTGTGGTCTCTGGATCCTTCTAGTGGCCGGTTCTGGTAACTTCATTGTTAAAAAATTAACCCTCTAGTGGCCGGTTCTGGTAACTTCATCGTTAAAAACTTATACCCGTATTTTTCCGTGTATAGGACGCCCCCATGTATAAGACGCCCCCCCCCCTTTTCTAATCCAAAATTAAGAAATCTACGTGGGGCTTGGCAAGTGCAGGGAGAAAGGGGTCAAAGCGTTGTAGGATCGCTTTGATCCCTACTTTCCCCTCCATTTGTTTTTGTTCTCTCCTCAGCTTACTTCCGTGTATAAGACGACCCTCAATTTTTAGTCTAAAGATTTTAGACAAAAATATGGTCTTATACACAGAAAAATACGGTATTTCCAGGATTTTTTCCTTTTAATATTTTTAGTGTTTTCAGACTGTGAATAAGTGAATCGGTGGATACCAATCCCGCAAATATGGGGGTTCCTACTTTAGTTCTAATGACTGGGAGAGGGGAAAGCATCCTCACCCTTCGTCTTCAGATGTTTCGGGGCCCTTTCCCCCTCTCCCCCATCATTCTGGGCTTGGAGTTCCCCTCATGTTTGATTTCCACCTCTCTGATCCTCCCTGTCGCCCTTCTCTGGACTTGCTCCTGATGGTCAGCCTCCTTCTTTAAAGTGCAGTGTCCAGAACTGGACGCAGGACTCAAGAGGAGGCCTAACCAGTCCCGAATAGAAGGGAACCTAGCGTCCCACGGGATGTGGAGACTAGGCGTTTCCCGCCTGTCCGGCCCGTGGCCCTTTCTGCATCTAGTTCGGGAGAGCACTGTGGGTGAGGAGCTTCAGCGGCCGGGTGTGTGTGTGTGTGCAGAGGCTGGAATGGGGGCCCCCAAGGAGACGCCCACATCCACACACCCTGGCAGAGAGGCCTTGTGTTTTCTCCAGGGGACTTCATGCGCAACGTGTACGAAGACATGACGGACATGGGCGTCCTGAAGGCAGAGATGGAGCGAGCGTTGGCCGACTACAACCGGACCCCCGGGGTGGTGGCCATGGGGCTAGTCCTATTCCGGGATGCCATTGAGCACAGTGAGTGTGTAGGGGAGGGCAGGGGGGCGGCTAGGGGCTGGATATTGGCTTCTCCCTCTCCCCCCAAAACACACAGTGGCAGCATTGGGGGGGGAGCAGGCAGGCGGGAATGGGTTCTGTCTGGATGATGTGGGAGAGGGCAAGCTTTAGCTCTGGGGGGGCGTCCCGCACGCCCACGGGCTGCTACCCAGTGGAGCAAAACGTTGCACAGCTGGGCCTCGGCCCCTCTCTTGAGAGTTTTGTGTGCGTGAGTGTGGTAAGGAAAAAAGGGGAAAGAAGCCGTGGGAAAAACACGGGGTGGGTTTGCAAACGGAACACATTTTACAGTGTCCTTATTTAAAAATTGCTTGGATCTGGCCTGGCCGATCCAGAAGCGCTTATTTGTTTCAAATATTTTTGCCCCGCCCTTCTCCTGAAAAAGGACCCAAGGCGGCTTCCGTCGGTAAAGAACGCAATATTTAAAAGCTAAAACCGGTCAATTGTTCCAATGTTTTAAAGGAGTTAAATAAGACATCCTATGATTTACTGTGTTTCCCGGCAGTAACCCGCATCGTCCGGGTGATCAGCCAGCCTCGAGGGAATATGCTGCTGGTGGGCATCGGAGGCAGCGGGCGCCAGAGCCTGGCACGGCTGTCTTCCTCCATCTGCGAGTATTACACCTTCCAGATCGAGGTCTCCAGGCAGTACCGCAAGCAAGAGTTCCGGGAAGGTGAGGAGGCCTCCCGGTCGGCCACTAGAAACCGGGCGGAAGGACTCCACCCCGCCACCCACCCCCCTTTCCTCGGACCCTTTACCGGCCGTCCTTCCTCTCCCGTAGACATCAAGAAGCTGTACCGCCAGACGGGGGTTGACCAGAAGCCCACCACGTTCCTCTTTGTGGACACCCAGATTGCTGACGAATGCTTCCTGGAGGACATCAACAACATCCTCAGCTCTGGGGAAGTGCCCAACCTCTACAAGCCGGAGGAGTTTGAGGAGGTGGGGATGCCCCCCCCTTTGGTTTTGAGAAAGGCAGACCCCAACCAAGCAGCCAGCGAGGGAGCGTGGATGCTAACCACCGAGGCTGGGGCTCAAGTCCATCTCCGGATTGCCCCGTGGTTGTTTTTTTCTTGCTGGAACCAAATCGTGTCTCTTCCTTCGGATAACGCCGAACCTCAAAGGAGAAGCATTTGAGTTCCTGGATTTTCTTGGGGTCTAAATATTCCTTTTGAATTTAAGCTGTAATCAAGCTTTCTGGGCATTTTTTTTCCTCTAAGAAAAGGGGAGCTTTGTATTTTAAGTAGTGATGGGCGCGAACGGTCGGTTCGTCGGTTCGTGCCACTTTGATCTGCGGACGAATGGGGTTCACCGATTCCCAGCCCTTCCTCCTCCAATGGGCACCCGCTCGGAGGCAGCACCCGGAGGAGATGGGGCAGGGAAACCGGGGGTTTGCTGCCTCCCGAGGGGGCGCCTGCCGGAGGAGGAGGCAGGGCTGGGAATTGATGGACCCCTGTCCGTCCGAAGGACGAACCAACATGAACCAACGAAATGGCGCTTTTGTGCCTCTCTTTCATTTTAAGTCATAGTTACGACTATCCATATTTGCTGGCTAGTGGGCAGGTTTGTTTATTTTATTTATATCCTGCCTATCTGGTTGGTTAAGACCACTCTTAGGTTTCATAGCTGTTTACCGGGGGTTCGCTGCCTCCCGAGGGGGCGCCCGCCGAAAGAGGAGGCAGGGCTGGGAATTGATGGACCCCTGTCTGTCCGAAAGACGAACCAACATGAACCAACGAACTGGCGCTTTGTGCTTCTCTTTCATTTTAAGTCATAGTTACCACTATTCATATTTGCTGGCTAGTGGGCAGGTTTATTTACTGTATTTTATTTATATTCTACCTATCTGGTCGGTTAAGACCACTCTTAGGTTTCATAGCTGTCTTGAACTTGG